AGACGGGGATTCGAACCCGCGACCCTCAGATTGCGAGTCGAGCGCCTTATCCACCTGGCCATGCCGGGCCAGGGAATGATGGAAGAGTCAGAAAGAGATTGTAGCTTTTAATGTTGTTTCTTCTTCTTCTTCTTGAGCGTGTACGTTTAGCCTAACCCTTTTGTATCTATAAAAGTACATCCATTGAATCGATTACACTCTCAACTGATGTAAAACGGTTTAGATCCAGAATGTAGAGATGTTTTAAAATTTACAGTAATTATACAAGTGCGTGCTGTTTCTGCCAGAGTCAATTTTCGGAAACTTGAAATATTTGTGGTGGCTAGCAAACGAAAACAGTTTTATACAAACAAAAACTGATGAGGCCGGCATTTCAGTCCTAAATTCCATTGACGTATATTTTGTTGAAATAGATATTAGGTCATGCATGGGATACTATAAATATAAGCATGGCCTTTTCATTAAAGAATTTTAAAGACTTTCCTACGTACACGCGTCTTTCCTGTCCTTGCTATGTCTCTTTAAATTGAAGTTTTGGAATGTATCAGAATATTTACTATATTGAGAACGCATTTTCTAAGCATGTTTATAAGCAACTATATTTGTATTTGACCTCGTATATTTTTTCAACACACGTTCCTTAATCAGTCCATTAGGTTTTTTTTGTATGTTGCGTACCTAGTGTGGTTGGAATACTATTATACACCAACAACTGTTATAATATGGATGCCTTTTATAAGCTGGCGAATCATGATGATAATTACTTATACTTGTCATAAGACATTACTAACATTAACATTAATGCCTTATGACAAGCATATTGAATTATAATCACGCTTCACCAGCTTGTAAAAGGCGTTCACAGCATAACAATTGTTGTTGTATTCCAGCCAACCTGAAGAGCTCTGGATTGAGCGAAACGCCTCGTCGGCAATGGATATGGTCAATACAGTGTGGTTGAAATACTATCACTATACACTCTTTTAATTCTTGAAACCACCTAGAGGACTAGATATAGAATAGTGTTTAAAAATATAATAGGCCTGACAATTATAATTAACTCATTGACTGAATGAACAACGTAGTGTTAAAAATATAACAGGTCTAATACTATTGTATCAGAATATTCTTAGAAAAAAAAAAAAGAGGCAAGTAAGCCTAACAAGAAACAAAGTTTTTTATGTGTTAAATTCTAAAATACCCTTAGTATCTTGCTGTACTTATATTCCAAGTTTTTATGAAAATTATAAAATATATCATGGGTTAAATAGTCTAACAAGAATCCTAGAAATTTATAAAATATTAAAACTAAACAAATAACCTATGCAGGATATACAACCCTTGCAACTGAAACAATTGTACGCACGTTTAAAATCAAACAACACTTCGACAGTATATCACTTGTATAACAATGCTCGAAACGTTGTAATAGTTCTTATTTTAACCGGTATTTATAGGCCTAGGTCTACTTATACC